GGAATGCCCTTCGAAACTCAGTTATCTGTGCGCACACCATAGCCATGTTCACAAAATACTTTTGGATATCGAACTGAATGCTATACACTTGGTTACTTGAACGGATATACTAGATATCTATTAAGACCTCTTTGGAGTTATGACATACAATGTCGCAGGTAAATCTGTGTAAAGAGGTGCACAATCTACTTGTTACTTGCTATAACTATTAACCATCATTATATGTTATTTCGTTTTATCCAGTATTAGGCCACTCTTCACAACCTACCTCCTATAGGTCATTACCCAATCGCTTCACCGATGTAGATTTTATTTGATCGACTTAGTTCAATTTCAACTTCAATTTTTGCTATTATCAACCAACGAGACTTGCCATGCCTTTATTTTTCCCCGTTATAAAGCATTGTTCCAGTAGATGTTTATGCTATCATGTGCGCGAAATTATAAAGGATGTTTTCACCTTGAAACTTAAAACTCCTCTGATACTTCGCGAAAGTGTGAAGATGACGCAGACGATTTCACTGACTTAAGTATGTGCAAAGTGCCATAAATTAGTTTCAATTTCACGCGCAGAGCACACAAGCCGTTTTAAACCGCTTGGCGATTGAAGCATCAAAATATGGAATGACATTTGCCCCTACAAAATGCAAAGTCCTGGTCCTGCATTGGCATCCACCCGCTCCAGTGCTCACTCTTCAAGGTACGCAGCTTGAACAAGTGGACAACTTTGTTTACCTAGGTAGCTGTCTCTGCTGGTAGCAATGGAAACGATATTTCGCTCCGCATTGCTAAAGCCCATCCGACATTCGCCAATTTGAGGCATCTGTGGCGACACCGTGCCGTTTCACTATTGGTAAGGGGCAGGATCTACAATGACTGTGTTCGCGCGGTGTTGTTATATGGCAGTGAGTCCCGGCCGATTCGTGTGAATAACGCGTCGGATTTCGGCCTTTGACAATGGATGTCTGCGGAGAATAGCTCAAGTGTGGTGGAGGAACCACATGCGCAACGATAACTTCATGCGAACAGCTTCCCTGATGCGCTCTCTTCGCTCGCAAAAGACCAGGCTGGAAGAAATCGCGTGGGGGTCAGCCTATCAGGTGGCGACAAACGATTAAAGCGCTGCTTTCCAGTTTGGCTGTCATAGGTCCCGAGCGTCTTCCGGGCTGGGGGATCAAAGATAACGAACACCGCTGACTGGAAACTCTTTTAGAGATGGCACAGAACCAGGTCCAAAGGAGAATGTGTACAAATATTCGCCTTGATTTGCTAGATTTACATCACAAACATTAAATAGACGAAAAAGGATAAAACAGCATGTGAAAAAAGAACAGATAAGATACAAGAAACCACTTTTGCAGCTTTCTTTCTTTTCGTTGTGGTCTCTGTATTTATTACCTCCGTCTCATGGTTTTCGCTGGTCCTATGTCTATCTTAAGGACTGCGATTATATATATATATATATATATATATATATATATATATATAAATGGTGATAAATGCAGATTGTTTCGAACTGGGTTAAACTATGTAAACATTGCGTAGTTGGAGTACAGTTGACGCGAAATCGCCACGACTGGACTACAAACAATTCAGTCACTAGCATTTAGCGTACAGTGGATAAGCATTATCAGTTTCTGCCACTCAACTTCCTCTGTGCCAGGTGGTTAAACCTGGAGCCTTTGGAAGCATGTTAACCGGTTAAGAACGACTGCAGCAGTGTCGTCATGGTTTGATCCACACTCCTGACTAGACAGCATTTTAGTAACAGATGGAGAGCGGCAGCGTTAAAAAATCGTGTGCACCTAACAAAACTCAGTTCGTGTGTGTACGTGTGTGCAGGAAAGGCAGACTAGAGTGATTTCTTCTGGTTGGCAGAATCAACGCAACACCCTGTCGGTACTTGAAGCCTGTCCTTTTGTGCGATTTGCAAAAGTAGATTGGTACCTTTCACGGAACTGACCGCCCTCTGTTAATTACAAATGCGATATGGGCATAACAGTTTCGAGCCACTCAAATAATCCATTTAGGCAAGTAAAGGGGGAAATGATGCCACAACTGGGAAATTACTTTCCTGTGCTCCAAACACACGCGGCTCACTATGACCTTCCAAATCAATCAACCTAAGCGTCAGAAGCCGGATACAATCTACAAGTGGGCATAGCAAGGGCGGAACTCAAGACGATGCAATGTGACCATCATATGATAAAAAATCAATCCTACGTCAATTTCGGCCGGTTATAAACCGTCTCCATCGTATGTGCCACCCTTGTTACCTCCGTTTGAAGAGGTTATTTGCCCTAGCACCACTATTATTTGGAGTACTCTCAAACATGCACTGATTTAGAAATAATGTACTCAAATATACTCGCGCTTGTGGAACGATATTTTCACTCTCGCTGGAACCTGGTTGTGCTCTTCAGTTGTATCTTCATTCGCATGGCACACCAAGAAATTTAGATCGTTCACCTACCATTTTCCATTCTCATTAGATCTTACATGAATATCACAAACATAGTACCGCAGCTAATAACACTATACATTAAGCGAGTATATTTCATCGTACTTTCAAAACACCATACACATTTTGTACGAACACCACTCCTGTTTCTTTGTCGAGGTATCTTTCCAAACGTACTTTGATTTGTCACTAAAGTGTAAACCCCCTTAACGTCAATTCGTGAACAGTTTGGTAAGTTACTGTGCTTACCTCGAAAGTGATCACGAAAGCTGTCTGGGTCATTCGATATGACCCCATACAATTGGAAAACCCTGACAACCGATGCATTTTTAGGAAGTTGTGCAAGTAAAGTTTTGAATTGGGTTTCAAAAGCAATCGTCACGGTCCATCAGGGTCAGGAAGCAACTGCTCATTTAGAATAACTCTAGACGACTGTTACCTAAATTCCCGAAAATCGTAAGCAGCGCGTATTCCATCTCGCCTCCGCAAGTTCAGAGTCCGCGTTCTTGCACCGTCGTAACAGTGGTTGAGACCACTGGGCCAAAGACAATAGCCATTATATATATATATATATATATATATATATATATATATATATATATATATATATATATATATATATATATATATATATATATATATATATATATATACCCCATGCTGAGGCTGATGTTGCATTCTTGATGCTTCCTCACCGCAGTTGGGCTAAACCAACTTACACTTAAATATGTCTTTTTAAGCTGGCTAAATTTCATTCCACTTTATTTGGTTTGTTCTGCCTACCTGAATACTCTTCTATTAACTGGCCACGTTGCTTGAATTAATTGCGTTTATATTCGATAACTTTGTTGCGTTTTGTCGCATTTTTAACTAACTTGTGGACATTTTTTCCTTATCGCAGATTCGATGCTAACCAACTTACTTCATATGCTTATTTAGCTTAGAGTTATGCCACCGTATCTGTATGCATTATTGGATTTGTTTTATTTCATCTTGCCATTTCAGGTGATTGGCTGTTGCTTGATATCCCCGGTGTGGCTGCGCTTGATGTGCATGTTGACAAGGTGCCTACCTGTCTATTATCCACTACCTCGTCCATACTGGCTCCAGGAGACAGTTGGTCGTTGCTGCAGGGGGCTGGCTGCACGGTCCTTGTGGCCGTGTTAGGCTCGAAGAGTGGTTCCATGCAGTCAGTGTGGAGCGGACTACGGTCCACCCACTGCCTTGTGTGCGCTTGATTCCCCAACTACAGCGTCCTTATGTTTGCCTGTGAAGGAGTGTGGGCCGGCTCTGTTGATGAAACGTGGTTCCCATCCACACGCCACCCGGTCTTATTCCTTTGGGTTTACACTGGAAATGGGTTGTGTGGTTGGAGCTGTGGGTGGTGCAGCGCCAGCCACCCATGGTCCCTCTGTAGGCGCAGACGTCCTGTGGCTGGCCACAGTGACAGGCAAATCCGAAACCGGATGCCGCTAACCATATATATATATATATATATGTAATGTATATATATATATGTAATGTATATGTAATCGTACCCAGCTCGTTCATAATGGAAGCAACGTCCGCATCGCAGCTCAGGCTTTCGGTTTCAGGTATGTGTTTGCAAACTTACGGTCAAGTTTTCTACTCGTTAATAATCTTACCGTATATTACACGCACAGCAACTGCAGTCATAGTAGCCACAACAGCAACCACAGCAACATAGGGTGTAAGCAATATAGCACCGAGAACAAGATAGGATAAAAGGTGATTCAAACAGTCCGTTGTAGGTGTGTAGATTAGGTATTTTCTTTCAAAGTGGAACTTCACTGGTATTCGCCTCAATACTTCCTTACTTGGGCACCATACAATGCGGTTTGATAGCTGCAAGTGACTGGAAGTCCCAATGATCAGGCTGGTGCTAAGGCGGTTATTAGCTTTGTTAACTTGCATAGAAGACCACAACAGTTTGTGACCACAGGCCTAAGGTGGAATTGGAAGTTAACTGTGGATGGATGGAACATACACAGGTTCCTCATCTACCATTTCATCCGGTGGAGGGAAGTGATTTAGCTCGAACGAGGGCGCTTCACCACAAATGTATATGACAGTATTCCGTTGCTCCATACTGGATGACACAGAACCGAAGAATGTTATCGAAATCTGACGGTTCGTAAACTCCTTTCTGGCGTTAGTGGAAAAGCTTCACGGTGTCACGGAAGATCAGATTTGGCGGTTATTGTGCTCGATCAATGAAACGACATCAAAGCTACTAGTTGAATCTAGTCTAGAGGATGAGACCAGTTAACACCAGTCTAGCACGAAATTGCCACAAGTTACCTAAAACAAACCTTTCTGGATGCACAGCCTGAAGGGACAACTTGTTCAAATCACTCAGCAAATCTTCTATTCAAAAGCATCCAAGCTGGTACCTTGTGTCGAAAAGTGCTTCAGTACTTCAGGGTACCTAGACCAGCAGTATGTTCAATTTAAAAGACAAGCAACGCTTACTGCAACAGTACAAACAAGTGGATTGTTTGAGAGGGCCCGATCTTACCTTGCTTTTTTCCAATTCGTACAATCGATTGTTGGCATTCTCAACCGCTTCACGATAGGAGTACATTTGTTCAATTTCCTGTGAAAGCAAAAACCAAAACCATACTGTCAATATTTCACAGCGCAGGAACAGTTGGTAGGGCATTTGCGTATAACTAAAGCAATACACGCAAGGAGCGTTGTGGTGTTGCGTCCATCATCAGATTAGTGCAACACTTCTTGCTGTGTGATTCTTATTGTTCAAAAGTGCTAGCCTACGCAGCTTACAAGGTACTGCCTTCTGGACACTCCTTGGAACGAGAAATGCTCAAGGAAAAAATAAACTGTGAACTGGTTAACTTCGACGACAAGGTGGAAAGGCCCGAAAATGTCGATGACATATTGCACTATTGTCATTCAACAACCACTCGCTCTAGAAGGACGCTAGTCAAATGCGAAATCTACACAGAGTAACTATCCGTAGTGCTAACTTATCTAATACTGGAGACTTTCGGAACCACCAGATTTTGTATACTTTTTGGTACATAATTAACTTGTTTCAATGTTTCACCGTGCGTACTGTGAATTGTGGTGTTCCACGACGGTCAGTGTTGGGGACCCGCTTATTCTTGTTCTTCGTTAACGACCTCTCGCGAGTCATCGAAAGAAATTTCCTGCGTTTTGCCAATAACATCAAGTTATGATGGATAATCGGCTGTCAGGAAGATTACGATAAGCTGCAACCAGAAAGTCCGCGTTTTTGTATGGTCAAAGGCAATGCAACTTCCGTTTAACACAGAAAAGTGCAAAACCGCACATGTCTGCCACAAGTTCACGTACGCATATAATCTTGCAGACTACATGTTGAAAAGCGTCTCACAAGAGTGCGACCTTAGAATGGTGATGGAAGACGAACTCGGCGGTTCGGCTCAGTCATTGAAGGCGTCCAAAACAGCAAACCAAAATGTTGGTCTGTAATGGAGGGCGTTAGGGAGGTTCGATCTCTACCAAGTGCTCAATGCGTGTGTGAGGTCCAATCTGGAATACGCGATCCAGGCTTGGCAACCCTGATTAGAACGTGACCCGGTTGCACTGGAGACCGCACAGCGACCGGGAACGAAAAAGGTGAAGGGGTTGTCCAACCTGCACTACCATAGGCGACGGAAAGCCCTGGGAGGGTACAGCGGGATATCGCTCTCTACGTGGTGACCTCATCCTAGGGTTCCACATCTTGAAAAACCCAGGTCATGCTTGCCGTCACCTCTTGACATTCAGCCGCAACACAGAATTGTGGGATTTTAAGCTGAAACTGGCCACCCAATACAGTCGGCTGAAGTGCCATTTGAATTACTTTTGCTTCAAAGTTGTCAACCGTGGAACAGTTTTACTAATGTTGTCAATTCTGCGCCCACGCTAACCATTTTAACAAAGCACCTCGGCGACACTATATACCGTCTGTAATACTTGATATGATTTCAGTTCAGTGAGTGATGATAACACGTGGACATACACTGTGCTCACCAACCTCCACGAAATCGGCGTAAACGGCGATACTTTTGTGTTAACGTGTAAAATATGGTGAGTCCACAGATGGGTTTTCATTTTTGTCTAACTTTTTCTTGAGCCTACCTTATTCCCACAAACCATGCTACGGGACTTGTCAAGCCTTAGGTGTTTTCGTATTCTATTTTTGTTCCATTGTATAATCTTGCAAATCTCACGTCACTATTTTATGCATTCTACATATATGTTTTCATGTCACTGGGTGAAAACTGCGGAACTGAAGGCAATCGAGGAACGGGCGATTACTAAGTCTTTGTTGATGAAGGGAATGGCTCCACAGAAAATTCAGAACGACATATCAACAGCGTTAGGAGACAGTGCTGAGGTTTGCTCGACAGTTACCAAGTGGCATAGGTAGTGTAAATTGGTTACGCAGTCACGTGAAGATGCTGACAAGTGTGTGTGGCTGCCAAAGACTGCGATCTGAACAAACGTTTGAAAAATTACCATAACATCAAAATGTAGATATAAAATACAATTAAAACAGTTTGTGGGTATTTCGATTAGCAGTGTGAATTCTGTTTTGGCGAGTAACTTAATGCTACGAAAAATCAGTGCCCTGTGGGTGTCAGGTACGGTAACGGCTCAACAGATGGCATATCATGTTCAGACGTGCCAGGCCAACCAGAGGCCGCTTTGATGAAATCCGACTAACTTGCCATCTCTTATGTTGACTACGGATGAACCGTGTAGCTATCACTTTGATCCTGCAGTAAAAAGTTAAAGCATGATGTGAACATAGTAAATCACCATTAACTAAGCACTGCCTCTCGGTGTCCGCCACTGGCAAGGTCATGAGCATTATTTGCGGGGATATCAAAGGAATACTTCCGTTGACATTCTGAGTCCGGATGACGAAGTAACTTGTTTGTCGTAGCAAGTCTAATAGAACAACTTCAAAAAGCAATTAAATTATTGAGGATGGACAAATTAAGAAATGTGCTTCATCAAGACGACACCCGTCAAAACTCGCGGGTTACAAGGAGGTAATTCTGGAAGCAGAATTTAGATTGCTTGAATCTGACGAAGCCTTCCTTTCAAAAGTGTAACGTTTCCCACCAATTGTACAAACCGGTGGTTTTCGTACCCTACTCAAGTCATACATCCTTGATCGGTTCGCGTATATTGCAAGATGATGAATGCCTACATGGACCTAAGATACAAAAATTGGCGAGTGATTTCGTTTGATTAGTTGGCTAGCCTTAAAGACAATCCAGAAAATCACCGCGTTTTCAAAATGAGATGCTGGAAAACCGACGTTATTCCCAGTACCTTGTATTCAAGCCACACAATAATTGTTACACCGCTGCAAAAATTACGTTAAACAGTGGTAAAGCGTCCCGAGAACAGCGGATTAACTTGATAAGCAGATACCTAGGTGAAGTCTGCCGCCAAGGAAATCGACTGAGCTCGGAGCTACAAACCGTCTTAAGGGAACGTAAGTCAAAGCAAGGGAGGGCCATCAAAGAAAGGTAAAATCGTTAGTTCCATTATTTAATGTCTACGTATAACTAGGCCACTAGTCGGAATAAAAGCCTGAATCCAGCAGCAACACTGCGGTGTATTTATGCCACAGGCAAGGTGATGAGTGAAACAGAACGAAGGCCGTTGGTGAATGGTTTGAACTTTGGTACAACAAACTGTGAGTTAAAGGTATAGAAAATTATCCCTAGTGTTAAGTCTGCGGTAGCGAGAGTACACGCCGAAAAAGCTGCGAATACTAGTCCACAGCTAGTAAACATTATCCAATATCAGCAGCATTGGGAGCTGAACGATGCAAAGAAAAACGTGCCACATTAAGGGAAGATTCAAGCAGTACTTTTCCGAAAGCCAATAAAGGCATGACCACAGTGATTATGAACAAGTAGGCTTATTTAGTAAAACAAGATTAGCGCCTAGTAATTGGACCATGTGGGGTAATCTGCTGTCATGTTAGTAATGTATATGTGTAATACAGAGATAGGCAGTACCTAAGGAGCGTGAGAGAGGATCTAGCACCTGGCAAATGACACAGAATTTACTCTAATTCAACGCTGCCACGTGGGTATATAATTTGCCAACGTTACATAGGCCTGATGTACCCACCCAACCGGTTGGTATCATAGTTCGGGCTGCGCTTTATGTGAAGGTTGACAAGGTACCTGTGTGTCAAAAATTGCTACCACGATTACCGCTTCCAAGTAACTGTTAATCGTTGCTGCAGGAGATGGGATGCACAGTCTTCATGGCGGTGCTAGTCTAAGCAAGTGGTTCCATTCAGTGTGGAATCAGCTACCGCACTGCCGCCCCACTGCACGTCTGGTATGAATATTTCTCCCTACTTGTATAAGTGAAGGAGTGGTCAGTCTCCAACACAATTAAGGTTCCCATCCACATGTCGCGTCGTCTAATACCCTCGGTTGCATACTAGATGTATGAGGTGTGTGTGTGTGTATGTGTGGTGCATCATAAGCCAGCCGTGGTCCATCCGTAGGTACAGGGGTCCTGTGAAGTGGATTTCGCATCACCACACCAGAAAAGTTTAGGTGTAATTGGGTTGTCTTTTTATATGCATCATAGACTACATAAAGGTTGAATCGTTGGGAACATGTTTGAAGCATACGTGTTGTGCCACAGTTTCTGTACTTCTGTAGTTGACTCTTCTTGCTAAACTAGATGACGCCTGGGATGTGGAATTTCTTACAGGAAAAGAACAGCAGCAGTCCGTAGGAAGGAAGGATGACATGGTCTACTCATAGGGAATGTACTCCATTACGACAGTACGTTGGTTTAACACAATATTCCGCAGAGGCATCGTATAGGTCAACGCGATGGTTTAAGTTGATCTAGCGAGTTCATGAAGGCGACAAATAATGACTGGTAATCAATTCGTAGAAGTTGGACCCCGTTCAATTCAGAGCTGTGCTCGGCTAAACGGTTATTTGAGCAGCTAGACATCTGTGAAAAGGTCCGCTGTATGCGTAAAGCCTCATCTGTCTATTTGATCCTTAGCCGCAACCTGTTCCCACAGTATCTGCACACCGAAATGCAGCGTTTTCATGCTTTAAGTACTGCACATCACTTATGCCTAATTAACACTTGCGACAAGCGCTCGCCAAATCCATTCATGTACTTCCTCTGCTTTTTAATATTTTTTGATGAATTGCATGAAAGATCGAAAGTGCACGGGCAGACTTGTGAAAATTGCTTATTTCCATACACACGGCTGTAAGGATCTCGCAACCGAGACGCAAGAAGGTGAGAGAGAGAGTTCATTTTATATGACCAAATGCTGGGCACAAGTCTGGGCACACGGACCTATCTGGTTAGTTGATCAGCTCTTTCAATGCACTGCTAGACTGAAAAACCTAACCAATGCATGAGTGTATTAACCCAGAAGTAGCTAGTTAATCCAAGTATACATTGGGTGCCGAATGTTGAAACCAAACTTGGGTTGCAACTAAATCTATGTCCCAAGTTTCGTTCGGAATTTATCTTCGGACCCATATTTTTGTACCTCCCTGTTCGGCTTAAAGAAGTCGCAGCAGCTTGTGAGGA